GGGGGGGGGGGGGTCACAGGCACCCACCAGTATGAAAAATTACGATGCGACAAACTGCTGCAATTTGGATGTTGTCTTTATGATTTCACAAAAAGTCTTCGTGAAACTTATTTCATGACAACATGCGTTACCGTGTATGCCTAACCCCAACTTTAAAATGACGACTTTGAATTATCCATTTTTCCAACCAAGCGGTACAAAATTCTATCCATCTATCTCGATTTATAGTTAGTTGAAATAAGGTATGCAAAAGGTTCATTTGTAAACTGAATTTATCATCAGCGTCATTACGAACATCATCGTCATCATCTTCATCTTCAACATCATGATCATCGAGTGAAAGACAAAACCCTGCGGACAGCAGAGGGTATGCATGTTAGGTGAACAATATAAACCACACAACGAGAGTATCGACGCATGTCAAACGATTTTCTAAGATGAAAACATTCTATAATCCACCCATTCATTTCTGTGCGATTTTTGAGCTTACTTTATGTCAAATGGCACGAAATCACAAGACGGTTATTACGCGGTAACCCCTGTTTGCGTCGACATTTGTCCTCCGATTATTTCTGACGATAGGAAACAAGGCGAGCGGAGAAAAGCCAGCTATAGAGTTTGACATTTCAACTTTATTATTGTGCATGGAAGGAAAGAAATCATTTCTTAGAGTCCAGTGATAGTGACATAAATTGAGCTGGTCGCAAGAGCTGTTCCGGAAAGTACAAAAATGTAAAAAAAAGAAAAAAATCTTGTCAACATCTTTAAAGGTTTGAAGAGAGTAAAGAGTGAACTTTCAGTTCCACGCAAACATGAACTGTGCCATTTTATATAACACAGAATTAATACTCAGTGCTTACTAACTTTGAAATAAATCAACCCACTAGGGGTAACTTAAGCATGGAGGAAAAAGAAAAAAAATAAATTATATACTTGAAAGCATGGACCAAGCAGAACTGACGACCATTTTGAAACCTCACAAATGAACAATGAACAACAAAATACTTGATGCTGTTGTTTCATAATGAGTACGATATTGAGGATTCCCCTATGTCTCGTCTGCCTGCGATGGATAGTAGCGGAAAATTTGTCTAATAAATGGTAAAGAGATAACCGTCTATTGACCTTTGTTGGGGCATTTTTGCATCATAACTGTGTCATTGATCCTAGGTCTTTGTTTGATATTGAGCCTTCGAGGTTATCTCAGACCTTTGAAAGTAAACTTAAAATAAAGTAAACAAGCGAAAAAGGGGTCACTTAAAGAATGAAAAAGGTTCGAGAAATCTGGAACCAACGGTAATTCATGACGTGACTGACGAAAACAGTTGCGGTTTCGCGGATCTTGGGACAGGTATCAAGACCTCAAGTGATAAATAAATATAGATCATCTATTGCAACATCAACTCTTGCGATTTAGTTCCTTATCTTGAATTGTAGCTCCGATCTCGCTTTTAAAGTCAACATCTCACAGTGTGGATGGAGATCTCGCGTGAAAACTTGAGATAATAGGGTTGAACTCGAGAAGGTTGCTGGTTAGGAAAATCGTGCAACTTTCTAAACAGAGATTAACGAAGTAATTGATATATAGTGGAAGAGAAAGTGGCTCCTTGTAAAGTTCTTTTATTCTTCACGACAACAATTTTTTATCTAGTAGTCGTCCCTTCTGGAAACAGCTTGCATGCAGTTTCTTAACTTTTCAAGATATGAGCATGAGTCATTTTCATGATGATTATGTAACCCCATAACCTGACCTTATTTCAAATTGCTAACAATGAAAACACGCGAGGGTACATGTGAGTTGGAAAAAATGAAAAACAGAACCATGAAGCCACATTATTCAATCGTAGTTATCCCAATTCGTGGTCGGTAAGACAGTCCAAACATCACTTTTGATTTATTTGATAGCTTCAATGTACAGCAATCAGTGTTTCTAGGCTTCAGCAAGCTATACCCTCTGTGGGGCAACCTTGGACAAACCTGTTTTGAATCGACATTTATTATAGTTACCTTAATCAGCAGCTACGAAGGAAACTTGAACTAGTATGGATCGAGTTATATTTATTTACAATGAAAGCTTTGATGTCACTCCCAATGCTGTCCTAGCTGTTATGAATATCATTATCACTTTAAAACGGAGGCTATCATAGCATGAGTAACATGGTTCTAGAGACTGAATAGAACTTTAATCTTATTAAAGCAGGCCGGGAGACTACATTTATAAATAGTTTTTGTAGCAAGCTCGTAAAAAGTCGAAATATATCAAGCATTCACCGATGATTTACTCTAAAAATCTGTAAACGCTTTGACGTATAACAGAGTCAGAATCCGCCGGATAAAACTAACTCAACCGCAATGCATCCATCACCTACCTACCTAGAAGTCGCTTTCAAATCGAACACTTCGAATTTATACTGGAAAATACAGATTCAGTTTAAAGTGTTGAGGTTTGCGGCTCGTAAGGTCCATTTTGTTTGGCACACTGTATATGCAATGCAACAAAAGATCGAGGATATTAAATGCAGTCCTAGGGTCATATCATGGTCGATGGAGACAGTCAAATAACAAATTTTGTTATTGACTTTTTTGTACGAGAACGATATTCTTGAAGATCAACGTCAATGTTCCCTTAGTCCGTTGTTACATTATCTGAAATTCTAGAGGATTTAGAAGATAAACCAGAAAAGAATATGAAAGCGACTGCTTTGTTAGATGCTCTGTTCATTTGTTCAGCTCCCTTTGAAATTCAAAATCCTTGACAGTGCATACCAGCCGATCTGGGGGATGTCGGCGTATCTGAAAGTTGTTTGTTTGGAATTACTATAATAATTGTTACTATAGGAACCTTTTCCATGGGTGACTATGCTATTTTTGTCGGGCAAGGTCAAGTTCAAAACATTTTTCTTGAGCTGTGCATTAGCCAACTCTCTGTTTCAATTAAGCTCCATGTAGAGAAATTTTATGTGATTCTTGTTAATCAAATGCTTCGTGTTCATGAGTGCTCGCTGTTGAAAGTTTTTACTCATTGACAGTGCATACCAGAAGATTGACCTAGGTGGTGTTTGCCTATTTGAAAATTTTTTATTATGTAACCTTCGTCACAACTTCTTTTGTTAGATTAAAAGAGGAAAATTAGCTTTGCCTTGGAGTAAAGCCACCTCTACGGCACTGATTGGTCGCACAATTTCGAGTAAAAGTTAGTTTTTGCAGCTGTCCTCGAGCTAAATCTGTGGTTCCCTTCAGCTCCACTTCAGGCCTTGTTGAGAAGCCGCCAAACTCATCCGTTACTCCGGAAATGTTGCACCGATTCAGACTCTAGAACATGTATGATACATCAATCATGATGCCAAATCTCTGTACCGATGACAATTGATGCAATATCCGATAGACAAATAAGCAGTGACCCTTTGACTTAAAAACAATATTGGCGGATATCATGAAATAGCCAGCTGTGGTCAGTGATGTGAACTATAATGCCAAGTTGTCAAACTACAATTGAAGAACCTTCTTTGGTCTTCCAATATTGCTCAATGTTATCCATGGTCAATGATGCAAAGTTATATCACCAAGTTGTCCAACTGACAAGTAAGAAGAGAAACGTAACACGTCAGCAAAAAGAAAAATGAACTGAACTTAATCAAATTTAACTAAAGTTACGCTTGGGTGAAGACTTTGAACTATTTGGTTTTTTCAGTATACAAGTGAGCATGGAATTGGTGAATATGTTGTTCGTGACTTCTTGTATTGTTTTGAAAAGTAATTTCAGTCGTTCTGACCTTTGATGGTCTGACATATGCAACACCAGTATTCTGGGATACCTAAGACTTTCAAAACAACTTCACGGATCTGGAGTCTTAAAAAAGACTGAAATTAGTGGGTTTTCACGAATGAAAGATATTGCTTTTGGAACATGTCGTTGAATGACTCACCAACAAAGCGAAAGTCATAAAAACTTAATCAAACTTGAGTCAGAGAGTAGGCAATCGTCATCATGTGTTCAAAACAGGCCTGCGACGTGACGTAACTTGAAACATTCGCAAGGGTGACAAGCATATACTTTTAACACACAAATAACACAAGGTAAGCTTCTAAACGACAAAAAATGTCATAGCTGTGGTTCAGCTTTTCTGGATAGTGTGAAACCGCTGACTGATATCTTTTCATTATCTTTTGATATCTTTTTGTTATCTTTCCACGTGAAAATGTATTGATTGTAAAGGAAAATTCCTGTTTAATCATTCCTGGGTTGAATCAACCTTCATCAAAACGAACAAATCCTATATCAGATGGAGCCACTAAGGTAAATCATCATCAAGTTTTCATAACAGGCTTGAGACGTTACGTAACCCGACACATTTGCCGCTAGGGTAACAAGAATATACGTTTAACACAAAAATAACACAAGGTGTTTCCTGCTGACATAATCTAGCTTTTGTTTTTGCCTTGTCTCACTTCATGCATCACCAGTCAGATTTCCTGTCGTCAATTACAGAAGCTGTTCAAAAGTTGATCCGTAGCTTGTCGTGTTGGTCATGTTCAAGCCACGTGCAACATCTTCTCCGGGATGCATCATTACACGTGTTTCGTGGTGAGCAGTACTTGCCTAAGGGAGTTTATATTGAAGTGATTGCGCCAAAAAGGACAGAAAAAAAAAGAAGACCTAGGGTAATTGAGATATTTGACTCTGTGGGACTGAGTAGGCAAAGAATTTGAATTTGTGACCACATGACCGCCGATGCTTGTCTACGAATAGCTACAGTTTTGAACCTTTCACAAAAATTAAACGTCCACTGAGAGCTTTATTAGCATTATATCAATTATTGATGTTCAATTTCGTGGTTTCTAACATTAACATTATCGCGGGACAATTGTACACTGTTTCTTTGATTTCTAAATACCACATATAGAAACACCCTTTGAGATACTTTGTCTCTTACGCGGTTATGTAATTATCTTCGAATTTAAAATCTTCGCGACTAACAAATTTCGCGCATTACGCGATTACGGAAAAAAAAATGATGCGAAAATCAGGAATGCGAGATCAAGTGATGCGGAAAAGGCAGATTCTTTCCCGTGCAGTTCAAAGGTGTATCAAAATGTCTTATCCAAACTTACATTAAGTCCTAGCTCGTAACGGCAAAGCTGAATCCAGTTTTAGGTAATGACTGGATTTGAACACTTGTTAAAACTGGTGCGGGTACAACGAAAAGTTCTCATTGAATTGGGTCGATGGGCTGGTGGTGCCTTATATGATGGTCAAATATATATCTATTCTTGTGATAAGTCAATCTTTTAATTTGTCAAAAAGAGAGTTTTAAATAACCAAGATTTGGACGGTCCTCCTATTGATACGAATAATCAGAAATTTTGATGACAAAATTGCAGGCGTTATAAAAACATTGGTAAGGCATTATCACGTTTTTTTAACTGAATGATGCATTGCGCCTTGTGTGGGAAAACCTGTTTGATCGAGAATAACCTGTTTTGATGCGTCAATCATCCATTGTTATTTGCCTTGCTTTTGCTTTTGAATTGATGCACCCAGCCCCAGCATAATCAGTTGAGCTAGTCAGTAACAGTGTGAACTACTACAGCTTACGAGTCTTTGAATTCTTTTTTACACGAAAGTCTTCCTGCGAGCTCTACATGGCTTCATCTAAGCTAGTAAGTGAATCAGTCCTGAGGTCAACCAAGGGGTTTGATTAAATACTGTCTCAGATTTATTTTTGTTGAGGAGCTAGAGCTGTTTGTAGTATTGATGTTCAATCTGTGTGACACTCCCTAAATACTGTCTTTTCTACTTAGAATATTGCATTTTTTTAAACCCTTTTATCCTGAGGAAATATTATCAGTCGCTTCTGATGCTAAGTATCCTAAAAGAGAGTAACGAATCACGATGTTATTATTACTATTGTAGTCCATTGCATCGTTCTTGTAGGGTAGAAAAAAAAGCAGTAACTGATCACAGTGAGAATGAGCTCTTTGGACGACTAACAAAGCAAAAAAAAAGCTAAGTTTATGAAAGCAATGTTTTCTCCTCGTTAATGAATCAAATTTTGTCTCAACTGATGGAGTGCAAAATGAGGAAAACCTAAACATTCCGTTCCCTCACAGGGCCTCAAGAAACAGTAGATTGAAATGTCGTGCTTGCTCTTGACTGTATTAAACGTATTAGAAGTAGAATGTAAGATATGCCCCAGGTTAAGATGATGATCAAGTCGTTCAACTTCTTAGCCATAGAACGTTGCAAGCCCACAGTTCTATCTGGCAAGACGTTGTCTTTATAACAATAAACTGTATCTTGATGTGTCGCCAGTTTCGTCTTTCGTCTTGCTCAGTCATCCGCCAAAAATTAATCATTGTTATGTAATCGATCGCTCTTACATAATACAGACACAACGTATTTATAAGATGAAATTACTATAGTTGATCGTTTTAGTTTTTCATTTTAATGAATAAACTGACTGTTGAAAAAACTGAGCCCAATCAGTTAAACTCAGAACTTTCTATTTCGAGCGATTAAAGTAGTATTTGAGCAACACAGTCCGCGTTAAAATTTTAGCTGTAGCGGTAGGCTGATCGATAAGTCAAAGCAAAATCTGTACAGCCTTTTGGAAATGAATATACTTGAGCGAATTTAGAAATACGAAAAAACACCCGTTTACCTATGCAGTGACTTAAAAGTGAGATACCAAAGAAATGATGAGGACTCAGGAAATAAATGAGAAGATGCACGCAACCTCAAAACTCTCTCTTTCTGGCCACAAACGCAGTTCTCGGTCGCTTTGTAAGCATGATTTTGTAAGAGCTTTGGGTCAATCGTTTCTCGCTAACCTCACAATTATATTGGTCTAACAGCTGCGACCTGCTAAATGTATGGCGGAAAATGGTAAATGTTTTGGATTCCGGCCGTCACAAATAAGGAATCGCCTCGTTGAGCCTTAGATTTCCGTTTTTGTTTAAACCTTTTAGAAGTCAGACGTCACCGTGGATTACATATCGAAGCACTGCCCAGCATTTTTCGGTGGTGGCTGCCCATATGCCAAGCTTGCCCAAGAAAAGAAAGGCGTCTGTGCCAAATGTCCTCCTTTCAACAATGGCTGCCCCTTCAAACAATGCAAGACCGTGGGTGAGCTTCAAGACATGATGGGTCAGATGCGTGATCAGTCCAAAGGTGAAGCTCAATGGATCGAGTTTTTGAAGGATGTCCACTTTCTTACTAAGGAAAAACACGTAGAGTATGGAACTGTCTCCCCTCAAAGCTCCTTCAAGGGTGGCTGCCCCTTTGCCAAAGATGCTGCAGGAAGGGAGATTTTGAAACCTGCATACACTGTGGTAAGTAATTCCGGTTTCGGAATGAAAATATAAAATGGAAACCATCGATAAAAAGAGCTTCTAACGTACAACTAAGGTGCGGGAATTTCTGTTCGTTCCCTAGTTTTTTTTTTAATAATGTCAAACAGTTGTCACTGTCTAGTGGTTTTCCCACTTTCAGAGCAAATCTCGAAACATGAATCATTCTAAAGAATCTATTACCTGAAGTGAAGAAAAAAGTGATAGCTCACGGCTGATTTATTTGAGCTGTTGTGTACCGGTTCCTAGTGAATATTCTCGTTTCTAGTTTAACTTTACACTTGAACCCGCAGTGTCCATATTCTTTGACGGTTGAGGAGATCGTCAAGAAGTGCCCAGTTTTTGGCAAAGGTGTGTGCCCTTATAAAGCTCTTGCTGATGAAATGAAAGGAATCGCCGGAAACTGCCCTGGTTTCAAACACGGATGTCCATTCAAGAACCTGAAAACTATGGGTGAGTACGTGGGCAAACTGGCCGAAATGCGAGATAAGACAGCCACTCCTAAGGGTCGAGCTGCATTCGAGAAGCTGATGAAGAGGGTTCATGAGATCTCCAAGGAGGCTGAGAAGAAGGCTGGACCTTGGCCATTCCCTCCAGATACCTGCCCAATCTTTGCCCGTGATGCCCATGGAAAGTGCATCATGCCAAAATACAATTAGGCTTCCTCAGAGTGGAAGGAGAAGGATCTGAGCCAACTAGCGTATATGTAGTTTTTTTGCAGAAATGACTTTTAGTTCCATTTTGGTGTCTTGTTTAAGAGTAGGTTTTTAGGTCAGTCAGTTTCCTCTCGATATTTTAACTTTTTTATATTTTGGGATCTTTATTGGTTGGGCAAGAAGCCTCGGTACATAATGAGATGATGAGATAGGTATGAAATTATCTATGGAGAGCTCCCGCTCATTCAGCCGGGCTGTGATGACCCTATTCCTTAGAGTAGTGTGTGTAGAACTGCCTGAGCAAGTGATGCTACTTTGTAGTATTTTGCTATATGTGCTCCTTGCTACTGATGTTTCGGTGTTGGGCTTTTTCCGGAGAGGGTTTTTAATTATTTAGCCATAAATAGCTCCCCTCCCTGTTTTCAAAGTGTTTATCCTATGACGAGATTAACGCAGGGACTTTCAGGTCATTCTTTGGTCATAATTGCATCCGATCATGTGCTTAAGCGCAGCTTCAACGCTGTAACATTATTCAACCTTTTCGTAAAAGAATAAGAATAAAACTCTTATCTTAGGGGTTTCACGTTTAGTTTGCTGTGATTTAACCGCGACAGCTTATTTCTCCATGGGGTTCTTAAAGGAAAAGTAACATGAAATTATACCAGTATGTTTTTATGTGAGGACGGCCACTCGCCATCTCAATTGCAATCAAGTTCGCATATGTTGTTGAATCATGTCCTTTATCTAAAGGTTACTGTCAACAAAATAGAGTGCCTTCCGGAAAAATCGTCCTATGTGCGCCACATAGGACGAACCGCCAAGTTCAATTGATCAATTTTTATTCACACAAACATTAACTTGTACTTTGCAATATTATCTACAAACTTTCAAATTGTGATTCAAACATTCACATAAGCCTTTTGAAATCCAATTAAAACATTTAATTACGCGCTCCAAACATGAAAATAGTCGGTTAAAACTTTCAGTTAAGCAGGTTAAACATTTTATTATAAACATCAAACCCTTGCAGTGACATTTAAATGTTAACTTGAAATTAGCGGTTTTTAATTCAACCCTCACGTCCTTTAACGAAACTTTCATCTTGGTATTCAAATATATTAATCACACTATCATGTCGGACGCTCATTATTCGATTCAAACATTCAATTCCGATATTCAATGTAAACATTCAACTCGAACATTCAATGCAAACATGCAAGTCGAACATTTATTGTGAATTAACATTCAGTGCGAACATTCACTGCAAACATTCCATGCAAACATGAAATTCAGCAATATTCAGTTCAAATCATCATTCCAAATTGCCGGTTTCCTTTGCTTTTGGAGTGCTTCGGACGTGTGGCATTAATTATTCTGCCATTTTTACAGCACTTCAAAGATAAGTTTGAGAATGTTTATTGCTGTATTTTTTTTTATTTTCAAGGGTTAGTATTTGTGCCTTAGAGTTTATAAATTTCTTTTTATCTATATGCCAGAGGGCTCGAGAACATGGCACAGAGTAAATTCGGCCGCGGCGGATCGAGTTAAGCCATATTTGAAGAACCCCAGTGGGATCTAGTCTGAGTAAAGACTGCCCGGTCCTTTCTCTTTTAAAAGTGAGACCTTGACTTTCATGATAATCTTTAAGTATTCTTATGCCCAAACTGTATCACTGCAACGATATCGCCGAGGTCATGGGTTCAAATCCCGTGAAGGCCTAAATTTTTTCAGGCCTCATTTTCACTGCTTAAGTAGTGTACATTACTGCAAAGATCGCTTTCATATCCGTGTATTAATTTATTGCCGAACAAACCTATACTTAATGACCATTGCCAGTCTCCTTGCAATTATAAACCTCTTGCATTTTTAGAATATCACTGCAATTAACCAACGAAAGGCGACAGTTTTATAAACCGAACAGAAACTGGTCAGTGGTTAAGTAACAGAAAGCTTATCAGTCAGTTACATTACGTGGGTGTTTAGATAACTGCCGGATAGTCTCAATCCTGAAGTATTGCGATACGTTTTACACCCAATATCAAAATCTAAATTATCCGCTTTGCAATACATAGCTTTTAGTTCCAGCTCTGAGATTTTGGCATCAGAACACCTTGACACCTTGGTCGTCAAAGACATTTAGTCTCACACTCACTTAGGCTTAACTTTGCAGAGTAATATGTCGTGGAGAAATCGTATAGTTAAGATGTATAAGAAAGCTTCTACACGATTAAATATACTGAAATGTGTCAAAAACAAAGTTGATAGATCCACGTTAACATTTTTGTACAAAAGGCTGATTAGACCAATCATGGGATACGGGGATGTTATCTGGAACAACTGTCATAATTGCGATTCAGCTTCCTGGATAATGTGCAATATGAAACCGCTGCTTGACATCTTTCTTTTCATTATCCTTCTACTTGAAAATGTATTGAAAAATTCCTCTTTGGTCATTCCCAGGAGTGAATCAACCTTCATCAAAACAAGCAAATCCTGTGTCAGATGGAGCGGCTGAGGTAAAGTCAGTTTTTAAAAGCATTAAGTAATGCATTGTGCTACTTAATTGCCACATCATAATCTAATCGTATCAATTTTCATTCCCCTTGCCGGCATATCAGGTCAGTTCAGTCGAACCATGATTCGTATTTTGGCAAGACACAGTTCGTCCGAAATTGTACTTATGTACCAAAACGGTAAGATTAGGTATTAACCGTACCCAAACTCAGACAAAAATCCGGTGACACACAGTATCGCTCGCGTATATTGCAATACCCCAATATGCGTCAGGCGCGTTTGATGCTTGGGAATCTACGCGCGTTTCCAGCGCGTGTAGTAGAAAAGTTATACGCGTGTGCCCAAATGGGTGTATTCTAATTCGTTCTTTGCCATTCATTACACGCAAATGCATGTACTCTTTCACACTAATGCGATCGCTGGGGGAATTTGCAGTTCACACGAATTAATGGTTTCGATATGCGTTCCTGCAACGAAAATAATGCGACGTTGATCATTCAAATAACTCTGGCTAGAAAAAGCGCTCTTCATTTTGATAAGTACAAGTGGATTTCGTTCATGAGAAGTAGCTTCGAAGTTCATTATAGAGCACTATTTTTTAATAAGTGATTGCGGGCGCGGAGCTGGAGGGTCATTTAACAAAGACCATTTATCTAAAGTCCACTTTACTTAAGTAATGAGATAAGTAACCATTAACCGCCAGGAGTAAAAGCCAGAAGTATATCAATAGGGATCTAGGATAGAGCAAACTCAGAGTCTAATTCATTAAAATTCTCAAAATAAATCACATCAATAGCAGCACGTTTACGGAAATAAATCACTATGTACTGCTCAAATATATATGTTCTCTCTTTTGTTAAGCGTCAATACATTCACCGTTATAAGAGTGAGTATGCCAGTTGAGGTCTCTGATTTTCTGTTTACGTAGAAGACAAAAAAAAACAAAAAAAACATACAGATGCAACAACATGAGAGCCATTCGTTTCGGCTTGGACCAATTTGTATTCAGACCCTCTCAAAGAATGCCGTTTTCCACTTTCTAGAATAAAGTATTCAAATCGACAACGAAGCTCTAGATGCATCGATCGCTGATGCAAAGATCTTGCACTACAAGATTGATTTCTACTTTAAGTTCAAGCGTCCAATTTCCAGCGAGGACTTTAAAGCTCTCTATGCAACCACTAAACTCGGTGTGGATATACTTCAGAAAGTCTTGTGAATACTGCATGGAGTTTACTCACTTCTCTAATTCGGGAAGAGGGGCGGTGCGATGAATGCGGGCGACCTTCATCTTAAAACGACAACTAGCGGGCTGAATCTACGTCTGCTAGCGCTTAAGCAAGAGAGCGACAAACAATGATCCAGGTGGAATCAGCGACGATAAAGGCGAGAGTTAATCTGTGGTAATGGCATGGCCTGGAAACCCGCGTTTTTCGGTGGGTTTGCCTTGAGATGCACTTGGTGAAAAAAGAGCCACCATGCGATTCCCTTTGGCAGAAAAAAGAAAAACTACAGTGTGAGCTCTTTCTCTTCACCAGATGAGGTCTGGCTTTTGTAAATACGCCCATAGGGAAACACAAGCTTTGCGGAGAGTCTCCTGACGATCATAGGCAAAAAGCTGGCCTTGCACATGCATACACTCACACCCCATTGCTTTCGAACTACATCGTTTAATGTTCTTAAAGCTGCAGGCTTAGAAAACTACCGAGCGAAGAGTGTAACAGGCCAAGCAAGGTAAAAATCTGTTGAGTTGTACTAAAGGGGAAAACTAGCTGGAGAGTGCGCCACGCTTAGCGAAAGGCAATAAGGACTCTTAGCATGTTCTTCTGATCTCCACTTGAATCCATCTAATACAATTACACTCACACCAAATTCATTTCACTCTCCTCTTTTTCCACTCCAACTCTAAATCATCTAGATCAGAGTCTTATCGAACACTCTCTCTATGATTCTCTCCGACTGCTTACTGTAAAGGACAAACCTTTTTTCCGATAGGCATGAGTAGGCATGCTGGCTAACTGACCTTTAAAGATTAAAAATTGTTATTAGAGCACTAACCCAAACACTTTTACAAGAATCTCACAAATGAACAATGAACCAAAACAGACTCAATGCTGTTGTTTCATAATGAGTACGATATTCAGAGTTCCCCAATGTCTTGTCTGCCTGTGATGGATAGTAGCTCCAACGAAAAATTTGTCCAATAAATAGCAAGGAGATAACCGTCTATTGACCTCTGTTGAGACATTTTTGCATTATAACTGTGTCATTGATCATCGGTCTTTGTTTTACATTGAGCCCTCGAGGTTATCTCAAACTTTAAAACTTTTTATAAACTTAAAGTAAAGCAAACAAGTGAAAAAGGAGTCACTTGAAGAATGCAAAAGGTTCGAAAAATCTGAAACCAACGGTCATTCATAACGTGACTGACGAAATCAGTTGCGGTCTCGTGGATGTTGAGACGGATGTCAAAATTTCAAGTGATAGATGAATATAGATCATCTATTGCAACACCAACTGTTGCGTTTTAATTTCTAATTTTGAATTATAGCTTGGAATCTCGCGTTATAGCTCGGATCTCGCTTTAAAAGTCAATATCTCACAGCGTAAATGGAGATCTCGAGTGAAAACTCGAGAGAATAAGGTTGAACTCGAGAAGTTTTCTAGTTAGGAAAATCATGCAACTTTCTATGCAGAGACTAAAGAAGTAATTGATAAATAATGGAAGAGAGTGGCTCCTGATAAAGTTCTCTCATTCTTCATGATAACCATTTTTCATTTCAGTAGTCGTCCGTTCTGGAGACAGCTTGCATGCAGTTTCTTAGCTTTTCAAGTTACGAGCACGAGTCATTTTCATGATGATTATGTAACCTTATGACCTGACCCTATTTCAAATTGCTAACAATGCAAACACGCGAGGGTACATGTGAGTTGACAAGAAATGAAAAACAGAACCATACAGGAAATTTTTCAATCGTAGTTACCTCAATTCGTGGTCAGTTACACAGTCGAAACATCACTTTTGATTTATTTGATAGCTTCAATGTACAGTACTC